AATATATAGAAAAAAAAAACTAGCCGGGCATGGTGGTGCATGCCTGTAGTCCCAGCTACTCGGGAGGCTGAGGCAGGAGGATCGCTTGAGCCTAGGAGTTTGAGGTTGCTATGAGCTAGGATCGACACTACAGAGTACTACTGATATGGTTTACTCACACACTGCTTATCAGGGTATAAATCAGTAAAATCTTTTCAAATTACCTATTAAAATTTTAAACATGCATAGCTTAGAGCCTGTAATTCTACTTTCTGGTATCTACCTAGAGAAGCACCCACTTGTATGCATAGACACGACTGTTCACACTGGCATAAAACTGGAAACACCAAAATGTCCATGATAAGGCAGTGGACAAACTGCACTCTATTCATACAACAGAGAACTACGCAGCAGTAAAAAAGAACAAGTACGCACCAAAATGAAAAGATCTCCAAGAAACGCTGTTAAATGAAAACAGGAATTAGGAAGTAGGAGAGGGGAATTTTAGTTAGGGTGGCTAAGAAAGGCCCCACTGAGGTGTCACTAGTGTAAAGAAGACAGGGATAGGGGGAAAAGCATTCTAGGCAGAAGGAACAGCCAGTGCAGGCCCTGAATGGGGACTGCGCTGAGGAATGGCACTAAGAAGGCAGCAATGGCCTCAGCAACACTTCCTGGCCCCAGCAAGTCCAGGGATATTAACCAGTGCAGTCTGTCCACTGCCTTATCAGCGGACATTTTGGTATTTCCAACTTTATGCCAGTGTGAACAGTCGTGTATACATGCACATGACTGTGCCAGATGCGAAGCGCTATGATCTGAATGTCTGTGTCCTGCTCAAATTCATGTTGAAACTCTAACCCCATTGTGATGGTATTAGGGGGTGGGGTCTCTGGGAGGTACTTAGGTCATAAGGGTAGAGCCCCCATGATGGAATTAGTCCCCTTATAAAAGAGGCCCCTGGGAGTCCCTCCCCCCTTCTGCCACGTGATGACACAGCAAGAAGGTGCCACCTATGGACTAGGAAGCAGGCACCGGCACCTCGGTCTTAGACTTCCCAGCCTCCAGAACTGTGAAAAATGGATTTCTGTTGTTTATAAGCCACCCAGTCTATGGCGTTCTATTACAGCAGCCTGAACAGACTAAGGCACCAGGTAGCCCCCGACTCACCCCCTCACTGTGCTGCACCACAGTGCTGATGTTATGCAGTGTGTGGAAGTTTTGGGTGTTGACAGAGCCAAACTCCACAATCTCATCATCCACTTGCAGACCCTAAAGAGAGAAGAGAAAATGGAGAATCAGGCTAGAGACTGAATGTGCTTCTGGTGTTCTTTACCCTTCAATACCCAATTTGATGTCAAGGCCGAGAGCTTGTTTTCTACAGGGCAAGCGCAAGGCACAGAGGTCAGGGATTTAGACACTTCATGCAGGAAGGGGCAGTGGATAATTGGGCCACCTCTCCTGCAGGTTCCTTCTAGGGCAGATCTAGTAAAGGTGGCCAGGTCTGCCCAGTGTGTGACAGCTGTTGGTTGTGGAGGCCTTGAGGAACGTGGGGTAAGCCAAATGCTACTCTCTCAGGCCCTCGTCCAGGTTCAAGGGTAAGAAGAGGCAGGCCAGCCTGGGACCATTTTATTCGGCAGTCAAAACTGAGACAAGGCAAACATTTGTCCAAGAAGCCCCCAAATGAGCAGCCACAGGCACAAGGCCGAGCCAAACTGGAGTGACCCTCTTGTTCTAGGTCATAAGGAGGACACAGAACACCACTTATTTGTCCCTTTAACAAATATTTGTCGTGGGCCGACTAGCGCTGTGCTACATGTTGTGGACATAGTAGTGAATAAAACAGAGTTTATGTGTAACTTACAGTCTTGTGATCATTAAAGAAGATTGACAGGACCTGGATTTAGGATCCGGTTCCCTCTGTTAGGAGATACATATCCTGGCACAAGTGACTTAGGGTCTTTGAGGCTTTTCCTCATGGGCTCAATGGGGTCAAGGTGAGTACCTACCCCAGAGGGCGGCTGTGGGATTAAATTTAAATACACATCCACAAAAAAATTTGCACAAGAATGTTCACAGGAACATTACTCATAATAGTCAAAAAGTGGAAATAATCCAAGTGTCCATTAACTGACAAATGGATAAAGAAAATATGGTGTATCCATGCTGTGGAATATTATTCGGTCATAAAAAGGAATGAAGTTCTGAACTTCATGCTATGATATGGATGAACCTTGAAAACACAATGCTAAGTGAAAGAAGCCAGACACAAAAGGCCACATATTGTATGACCCTCTATATAGGAAATGTCCAGAATAGGCAAATCCACAGAGACACAAAGTAGATTAGTGGGCCAGGGGCTGGGAGTACCAGGGGTGATGACAAATCAGTATAGGGTTTCTTTTTAGGACAGTGAAAATGTTCTAAAGTTGATCATGGTGGTAGATGCACAGCTTATGAATATGCTAAAAGACACTGAACTGTATACATACCTCAGATGGGTAAATTTTATGGTATGTGAATTATATCTCAATAAAGCTGTTAATTTTTAAAACATACCAGGTAAGATACATTACTCATTTTACAGGATGCCTAGTGCAAATGGCAGCAATTATCATTCTCAATTTTATTATTTGGTGCCCAGCTAAAATGAGCCCCAAGAAGATATCCTCTTTCCCTCTCCTGGGAACTGTTCTTCGGACACCGAGAACAGTTCTCTACCCTCCAGGGTAGTGAGCAGCCAAGGCTGACCCCGCTCCAAAACCCTGGCCACCAGAACAAGGCTGTATATGCAGCAGGCCTTGAGCAGCATTTGTTGAATGAGTGATTGAACTTGGAGCTCCAGCATGGATAGAGCAGGTCTGTCCTCCCACACCCCCTGCAAAGGGCCCTGGATTACCGCAGTGCTGGCTGGGGAGCCAGGGCTGATGCTTTTCACTTTGGCGAAGCCCCGAGGAGTGCTGTAGCTCATACTCTCCCCCAGTTTGTGGCTCATGGCCTCTTTCTGGGCCTCAGCCATGTCCTTGGCCTGCTTCTGCTTGTCACGAGCATGCAGCTGGTGCAAGGCTTCCTCCACCTGCTTCATCACCGCCTTGTGGTCATTCTGCAAGCCTGGGATGAGAACCACCACGTCAGAGGCCAAGGGAGATAGCCCAGGACATGAGACTCCTATATTCATTTGCTGAATATTTAACAAGAGCTTATGACATGCCAGACATAGGGCTAGTGGCCAAAGACAAACCCGGGACCAAGACTGAGGACCAACTCTCATGGAGATTGCATTCCAGCAAGGAGAGCAGCTACGGAACAAGTAATTACACTGATATCTGATGACTGTGGTTAGGCCCAGCCAGCAGGGGAGCCTGACCTTGCTAGTGTAGGAGATCAGGGAAGGCTTCCCAAAAGTAGTGCTGTCTCAGCTGAGACCTGAAAGGTGACCAGAAGGAAGGTACTGTTCAGCTGAATCCATGGCCATGAACTCAAATGCATACAAGGGGCCAGCATGGTGGTCATGCAAATGAGTGATGTGGGCTAAGCATAAGAAAGATTATACTTTTCTCTTAGATCTTCTAGAAGAAAAAATAATGCATAAGCCTAGTATAACATGGCTGGGGACACTCAGTCTAGAAGAAGTAACAGGGAGTTGGCCAAAGGGGAACCTTGCTATTGGGCTCTTGCCAACTGCTGGAGTTTGGGAGGGAGAGCCACTGTCACCAAATCTTTGATTTTTCTAGAAAAGCTGAAAATTGGGAGCCATTGGGTGAAATCTTCTGATTTTTCAGTACTGACAGCTAATTCAAAATGTTATGAATCACCACGCCAGTCAAACAGATCATGTATGCAGGCCAGGCCAACGCAGCACCTGGCAATTTGATAATTTTTTTTTTTTAACTAAAAACAACTTCCCTACCGCTCTGGAGTCCGTATCTTTATTCTAGCTGGTCACTCACAGAATCCCCTCTGAGGAGTTTCCAAGAAAGCCTGAGCAGACTAGCACTGCCAGCCAATCCATGTCTAGGGTCTATGGGTCGCAGACTTTCCAACTTTTCCAGGGCCTTTGACTGTGGGCCTGCTGGGCTACCTGACCTGGCTCCTCTGCTTGTCACTTTGGTGCATAGATGAGGCCCTCAGGCATAATGAGACTCAAGGACTCAACCCACAGGAGCAGACACAAGAAAAGATCCCAGATTTGAATAAGAGGAGATGTATACCTAGGAAGGAAGACTTAAAATGCTGTCAGTAGATAGCATGTGATAACTCTCTGACTAGAAAAGCATCTCGTGACAAGGTCCACAAGGGTCCCTAGAATCTCCAGCAATGCCTGGGACATCGTAAGGACTCAATCAATATACAGCTGTTGGGTAATGGAACAGATGACTTTATTTACAATATATTACAATTCTAATTAAAAATTCAAAAGTTTTTCTGGGATGAAATGTTTCAGCAGTATATTTCAAAAACCAAATTTGTAATTGTGACTAGTGTACCATATTAATGTAAGCTGTTAACAATAGAGGAAACTGGGTAGAGAGTATATAAGGGATCTTTCTGTATTATTTTCCTAATTTTTATATAAATCTATAACTGTTCTAAAAAAATAAAGTCTACTTTCTAAAAATAAAATAAAATTATGGTAATAGTTTTTCAAAAGAAGGCCAATAAGGAGGAATTGTTCAAGCAGATTCTTAAGTGGAATAAAGTCATTAAGATGATGGGATATTAGCATCCAAAGAATAGATCAATGGAAGAATACAAAAAGCCCAGAAATAGACCTAAGCATGATTCAAAACTCAATACGCAATGCTGCTAGCATTTCAAATTAAGGGGGAAAGAATGGACTATTAAATAAGTAGTGTTGGAACATCAGGCTAACCATTTCGAGAAAAACAAAAGCCAGTGCCCTGCCTTGCACTGTAGGGTGGCACTTCTCAAATTTCACCCAGAGTCCTCACTGCAGGAGCCAATGGGCTGCATCCCTGGAGAGTCTAGAGGTTTAGCCTAAAGCCCAAAATTTCCCTCAAGCATGGTTGTCTTAACATGGTTTTCCCCTACTCTGTATCTTCCTATTTGTTTTAATGTAAAAATGAAATACTTCTTTTCCCAAAATCTTCAAGGAAACGTGATGCTCTAAGAAGTTGTCCCCAGTTTGAGAAGCAGGGGCTTACACCCAAACATGCTGCAGATGGGGTCAAGATTCAGAAAGATTAAACAGAAGTCATTAAGTGAAAAATGCAGGTGATAATTCCCTTTTTTTTTTTTGAGACAGAGGCTCACTCTTTTGCCCAGGCTAGAGTGAGTGCCGTGGCGTCAGCCTAGCTCACAGCAACCTCAAACTCCTGGGCTCAAGCGATCCTCCTGCCTCAGCCCCCCGAGTAGCTGGGACTACATGCATGCGCCACCATGCCCGGCTAATTTTTTCTATATATTTTTAGTTGTCCGATTAATTTCTTTGTATTTTTAGTAGAGACGGGGTCTCACTCTTGCTCAGGCTGTTCTCGAACTCCTGGGCTCAGACAATCCGCCCGCCTCGGCCTCCCAGAGTGCTAGGATTACAGGCGTGAGCCACCGCGCCCGGCTGATAAATTCCCTTCTAATAGGACTTTGTGGCAGAGACTGCTGGCAAGGTGAATCATGGCCCTGAAAGACGTCCACGCCCTGGTCCCCAGAACCTATGAATATGTGACCTTACATGGCACAAAGGACTCTGCAGATGTGATCAAGTGAAGGATCTTGAGATAGGGAGATGATCCTGGAGTATCCAGTTGGGCTCGATGTCATCACAGGGATCCTTTATAGGTGAAAGAGGGAAGCAGGAGAGTGAAAGCAAGAGCTGTGACAATAGAAGCAGAGACTGGAGAGATGCAGAAGTTGGAAAAGGCAAGGAAACGTGTTCTCCCCTAGAGCCTCTGAAAGGAACCAGCCCTGCTGATGCCTTGAGTTTAGCCCAGTGAGACTTCTCACCTCCAGAACTGTTAGATAATAAATGTGTGTTTTTTAAGCTACTAAGTCTGTGGTCATTTGTTATGGCAGAAACAGAAAATAAATACACTACCCAACCTCTACTCTCTGCTAGTTCCTTAGCTAAAAACAAATAAACACACAAAAGATGTAGGAGAGCAACATGCCTGCAGTGGAGTATGTTCCCTGTCTTTTTTTGCAGGCAGAGGGGCCTAAGAGGGGAAAAAGCAGGAATTTCTGGGTGCGGTGGCTCACACCCATAATCACAACACTTTGGGAGGCAGAGGTGGGTAGATCACTTGAGCCCAGGAGCTGGAGACCAGCCTGAGCAACATACCAAGACCCTGCCTCTACAAAAACTAGAAAAATTAGCCAGGCATGGTGGCACATTCCTGTAGTCCCAGCTACTCAGGAGGCTGGGGAGGGGATTCACTGGAGCCCAGGAGTTTGAGGCTGCTGTGAGCTAGGATGACGCCACAGCACTCTAGCCCGGGCAACACAGTGAGACTCTGTCTCAAAAAAAAAAAAAAAAAAAAAAAAGAAAAGAAGAAACCAGAATTATAGAATCCTAGAGTCTAGCCCATTCCCTTGGTTCTCAGTCTCTTGATGGGGACAAAGAGATAATCCCATCAAGGCAGAAGAGAGGATGGCAGATAACATCAACCATTGGTGACTTCATTTATGTGCCTTTGACAGCCCCTACCACATGGTAGGGGGCTATCCCCCAACAGGGCCACTCACAGATGATGTTGTGCCTGGCAGTGCGGACTTGGTACAGGTCCACGTCTGACCGGGGGTAGCCTTCAGAGTCCACCAGCGGCTCGTTCATCCCAATTCCTTTTTGCTGGAGGGAAGAAACAGGGTTAAACAGATCTCACACATATAACATCCTCAAGATGCCTTTCTCCAGACCCTCTTCCTTCAAAGTATAATAAAGGTGACAATAATGAAAATCACCATATATTGATCGCTTAGCACAGACCAGGTGCTCTACCCATGTCCTCACAACTACCTTCTGAAGTAGGCACTATTTTTTAAATTAATTTTTAGTAGCACAAGTAATATATGAATACGCTCTCCTTTTTTGAAACCATAACAGTGCAGAAAAAAACAATGACTCCTCCGAGCATCATCCCCAAGGCCAATTTCTTCCTCAGCTCCTCCAAACCCGCCTTCCCATGGGCAGCTGACACCTGGCTGGTGGCCTTGGAAGCTGGAGGGGAGTGAAAACCCCAAGGAGCATCCAGCTGTGGCAAGATTTTGAGTCTTCTGAAAATTAAAAGGCTTTCTAGGAAGCTCTTCATCCCTCGGAGGATACGCTGATATCACTTGTTGCCTCTGGGGAGAAGGACTGGCTGGCTGGGGCACAGAGGCGAGAGAGAGAGACGTTTCACTTCACATTCTTTTGTTACTTTTCAACTTTGACCATGGGAATGTGTTCCCTATTCAAAACAATACATTTGTTTTGACTTAACACTTTAAAGACATAGTCAGAGGATGGTACATAAAAGGCAGTGTGCCGAATGGTATAGGGCAGGGGCTTTGCAGTTGGTTAGATTTTGATGTGAATCCAGTTCTGCCATGTACAAACTGGGCACCTTTGGCTAAGACCTTCTCCTCTCAAAGCCTCAGCTTCCTCAATTATGAAATGGGGATAGTAGCACTCACCTCCCTTCCTACTTCTTGCAAGAACCAACAAGTTCACCTACACAGAGTACTTAGCACAGTGCCAGCCACACGGATAGTGTAGTGTGTTGAAAAGTAGCCCCCAAAAAGCTATATCCACATCCTAACTCCCAGAACCTGTGAACAGGTCTTGATTTTATTTGGAAAAAGGATCTTTGCAGATGTAATTAAGTTAAGGATCTCGAGACAAGATCATCCAGTGACTATATCCTTATAAAAGAAAGGCAGAGGGAGATTTGGAACACAGAGACACAGAAAGGCCATGTGAAGATGGAGGCAGAGATTTAAGTTATATGGCTACGAGCCAAGGACTGCCGGCAGCACCAGACGCTGGGCGAGAGGCATGGAACAGATAGTCCCTCACAGCCTCTAGGAGCTAACCACGCTGACACCGTGATCTCAGACTTCTGGCCTCCAGAACTAGTGGAGAATAAATTCCTGTTGTTTTAAGCCACCAACTTTGTGGTAATTTGTTATGATGACCCTAGGAAACTACTAAGCATAGAAAGTAATAAATGGCATCTGTAATTATTAGTCAGTCCAGAGACGAGCTGCCCAGTGTACACAGGCAGAGAGAAGAGGGATCCCATTCACTTTTCTCCCTTCCTCTTGAGAAGCCTCTAGGTTACACCCAAACCTCCTGTCTCCCTAACACAAGACTCTCTACAGATACTGCAGAAACATACCAGGGCCTAAACACCTGTATCTGCCTCCTGCCTTCCCACAAAGACTAAGAGCTCACTAGCCTCTGAGAATTAACACCAGCAAGATACTGCTTCCCAAAGAGTGGGCTCCATACCACTGGCTGTTCACACTCATGGCATTAAACAACCCTGAATGTAAAATATGTATTCCTTTTCCAATTCTCTTCGATCCTTCAATAATGAAGAAAAAAGTCTTCATTTGGTGCTGGTCTTTATGACACCCCTAGATTACTTGCTATCTCTGGGACACTCCATTTTTTAAAGTTTTGTTGAGATATAATTCACATACCATACAATATTGACCCATTTCAAGTGTACAATTCAATGGGTTTTAGTCTATTTACAGAGTTGTATAACCATTGCCACAATCAATTTTAGTATATTTTCATCACCACCCAAAAAGAAACCTCAGACTTATTAGCAATCGCTCCCATTTTCCCTCTCCCCCCATCTCCTGGCAACCACTAAGCTACTTTGTCTCTATGGCCTATTCTGGACATTTCATATAAACAGAATTATGGAATATGTGATCCTCTGTGACTAACTTCTTTCACTTAGCATGTGTTCAAGGATTATTCATGTTATAGCATGTATTAATACTTCATTCCTTTTTATTTTTTTTTTAGGACAGGGTCTCGCTATGTTACCCAGGCTAGACTCTAACTCCAGGCCTCAAGCAAATCTCCTGCCTTGGCACCCCAAAGTGCTGGGAGTACAGGCCTGTGCCACCACACCCTGCACCACTTAAAAAAAAAAAAAAACAGAGCAAGGCTTCGAGCTAAAAGCCTTCACAAGCAATAGTAACCAGCTAGAAGCAATCAACATACTGAATCACCTTGACAAGCATTTTACCTTCCATTTAAGAGGAGAGATTCTCATTTCCCATATGCAGTAGTTGTAAAATTTTTCTTTAAAATAAATTTATGGAAGTAAAAATGGTTCAACTTAAGGAAAAACATCAAGGGATACAGCATCCTGCTTGTGGTAGAAAAGTAACTAAAGTTTGAGAAATTGCTGGTAATTTGCTTGAAAGGACAAGTTCTGGATATAACAGCCCTGAAGTCTGAATCCCACTTTGTGACTTCCCTTTTCTGAGCTTCAGGGGCTCATACTAACTTCACAGAGTAGTTCTGAGGATTCATGATAAAACACACACACACACCAGCACCCTTCAGGTATATAGTCAGAACCCAGTAAAATGGTTCCCTGGCCTCATATGATACTTCATCTTACATTACCTAAGATGTATTCCATCCCACCCGCCTTGGGTGTAATTAATTTACTCTTCCTCTGCAAATTGATTTGTGGTGTTCCACTAGCTGGCATAAGAAAAACTGTACCAGTTTTGGAGCCACACAGACCTGGGAACCAGACCCATTGCTTCTACTTCCTAACTACCTGACCCTAGGCAAGGGTTTGCCCCACTCCCGGCCTCCCGTTTCTTCCTTATACAGTAAGGATAATGAGCCTTGTCACTCAAATCGCGGTCCTTAGACCACTAGCATCAGCATGGCTGGGAGTTGAGAGAATCTGCTCTCCCACCTCAATCACAACGTGCATTTTAATAAGATTCCCCAGGTGATTCACATACACATTGAAGTCTAAGAAGTTATGATGTAAAGTAGGTAGTAAAGCACATGCCGGCCGAGCGCGGTGGCTCACGCCTGTAATCCTAGCACTCTGGGAGGCTGAGGCGGGTGGATCGCTCAAAGTCAGGAGTTCGAAACCAGCCTGAGCAAGAGCGAGACCCCGTCTCTACTAAAAATAGAAAGAAATTATCTGGACAACTAAAAATATAGAGAGAGAGAAAAAATTAGCCGGGCATGGTGGCGCATGCCTGTAGTCCCAGCTACTCGGGAGGCTGAGGCAGGAGGATCGCTTGAGCCCAGGAGTTTGAGGTTGCTGTAAGCCAAGATGACGCCACGGCACTCTAGCCAGGGCAACAGAGCCAGACTCTGTCTCAAAAAAAAAACAACAAAAAAACAGCACATGCCACCTGGTAAACCTTCAATAAGGACCCATGTGGTGGTGATTATCATTCTGCCTCTGCAAACATACTAGCCCTGAGACCTTAGGCACATTTAAGTCACAACTCAGTTTCCTCTTCCCCTAAAATGGAGAAAATGCCAGCATCCACCTCAGAGGGCTGTTGCGAGGATTAAATAAGCTAACCAACGTACAGCACTTTAAACAGCGCCTAGCGCCCAGCCAAGCCTCCACAATGACTTGCTAGACAGCAACACCGTACTAACCGTCCTCAGTTGTTAACGTTCTTTGCCTGCACTTCTTGCTGCCGACAGAGGCCGCAATTGCGGCGCCTTGGGCCTCCGGGAGAGAAAGATCCATAGCTGAGCGCCCAAGCAGAGGCCGCTCCCGCCCCCCAGTCCTCCCGGGTCGGAGCGCCGGGTCAGGAGGCCTTGGGGCCCCCCCACACCTAGCCGGGAGCCCCGAGCCCACACTCACGCTCTCCAGCACGTCATAATTGGCCTGGATCTGCGCCTCGATCTCCTCCTTGCGCCGCATCAGCTCTTGGACGTCGCTGACAGTCACCGCGCCGGCCTGCAAGGAACCTCCGCTCTGCCTAGCTTGCCCGTCAGACATCGTGGACGGCGGCCCGGAGTCTCGGACGCCCGGCTCCTCGGCTGTGGACGCCTGAGGAGACTGGAGCTACGGCTCCGCCCGGGGGCCAAAACACCGCAGCCGCCCGCGAGCGCGAGGAGAAGCGAGGGGCGGGGCTTTGGGGAGGGGCGGGGTCGCCGGAAGCCACACCCTGCTGGAACACGTGGGCCTCTGGTGACTCGGCAGGGGCAGGGTGCGGAGGAAAGGGTTCCGGGTCCCCTCAGCGCGCGCGCGCACAAAGACGCACACACGGACACACACACGCACACGCGCTAGGGGAAGGTCTCGCCCTAGCCCACTCATTTTTCTCATTCGTTCAACAGACATTTATTGAGCGCCTACTGTGTGGATGTGCTGGAGAACACTGGGTGGCTCTCCAATTCAATTCTTCACATCTACACGGTTCTTGAGGATTTACAAAATACATTCAGGTTCCTTACCTCCCATTTTACAAACCCAACAAAACTGGGTTCGAGTCCCACTCCTGCCATTTACTGCAATCTGCGTGATCTTAGGCAAATTACTTCATTTCCCTGAGCCTCAGTTTCCTCATCTGTAAAATGGAGCAGTATGTTGATAGCAGCCTGTCTCACAGAGCTGGCCTTCTGCCACAGATACTCACAGAATGCCTCCTACGTGCCACACTTTTCTAGGTGCTGGAGGGGAGAACAACGGTGAAGCACTGTGCTCAGTGCCCCTCACGTACTGAGCACCCCACTATAATGTTTGGTAAAAATAATAGTGATAATGATGATAATTCATTGAATACTTATAATTAGGATTATTATTAGCCCCCATTTGACAGCTAAGAAAACCATCTCAATAACCAACTTCGCCCAGCTAGAAAAACGTGAAGCCAAAATTCCAACCCAGCTTAACCAAACAATCAAACTTAACATTTTAACACGCGCCCCTAATATTTTGCACTGGAAAGGACATAACATCACCTGTATAGTATCCAAACATGTTTGTCCTGAATCTCATCATAGGGACACAAACAGATAAATCCAAAAGTGAGGGACATTCTTCAAAACAACTGGCCTGAAATCTTCAAAAAGGTCAATGTTGTGAAATACACATGGGGGGTGGAGGTGGCAATTGTCTAGATAAAAGAAAGCTAACAAGACGCCATAGCGGTGGCTCACACCTGTAATCCCGGCACTTTGAGAGGTAGGAGCATCCCTTGAGCCCAGGAGGCTACAGTGAGCTACGTGCCCCTGCACTCCAGCCTGCATGACAGAGGGAGACCCTGTCGCTAAATTTTTTTTTTAATTTTTTAAAAACAGATGCAACAACTAAATGCAATAATTGATCCTCTATTGGGTCTTGGTTCTCATCCATCCCCCCCAAAAATAAAAGATATGAAGGACATTCTTGGGACAATTGAGAAAATTTGAATATGGACAGTATGTTATCAATGTTAAATTTCCTGATGTTGATACTTGCACTGTGGTTATGTAAGACAATGTCCTTACAAAATTCACCCTGTAGTATTTAGGGACAAGAGAGGCAACTTACTTTCAAATGGTTCAGAAAAAAATATCATACAAATATATATTTGTAGACAAGAGAAAGATAAAGTAAATATGGCAAAATGTAAATAATTGATGACTCTGTCTGAAACATATATAAGCATTCTTCATACCATTTTTACAACTTTTCTGTAAGTTTGAAAACATTTCAAAATAAAAAAATTGAAAAATAATCTTTAAAAAGAAAAAAGTAGAAAAAAGAGGAAAAGGCCTGGCGCGGTGGCTCACGCCTGTAATCCTAGCTCTCTGGGAGGCCGAGGTGGGCGGATTGTTTGAGCTCAGGAGTTCGAAACCAGCCTGAGCTCTACTAAAATTAGAAAGAAATTAATTGGACAACTAAAAATACATAGAAAAAATTAGCCGGGCATGGTGGCGCATGCCTGTAGTCCCAGCTACTCGGGAGGCTGAGGCAGGAGGATCGCTTGAGCCCAGGAGTTTGAGGTTGCTGTGAGTGAGGCTGACGCCACGGCACTCTAGCCCGGGCAACACAGTGAGACTCTGTCTCAAAAAAAAAAAAAAAAGACAAAAAAGAGGAAAAGTAGAACTGACTACATTAGGCCTCCTATATTTTCTTTGGTTATCTCTTTTAAAGAAACTAACATTTCTAACATTGGCCAAAAAAGGGAGAGACAGAGAAAGAGAGAGAGACATGAGGACTAAACACAATATACAATCCCTGATTGGATTTTTTTAAATGAGAAATAGCAGCTTTAAAAGATCGGCGGGCCAATTGGTGAAATTTGAATAAGAACTTTATATCATGGTATACTGATGTTCAGTTTCCTCGATAAGAGGATGGTATTGCTGTTGTATAAAATAGTCTCCTTATTCAAAGAAGATAAATGTTGAAGTATTTAGAGGTGTTACTGTCATGATTTCTGCTACTAACTTGCAAGTGGTTCAGAGAAAAAGAGAGACTGGAAAGAGGCAAAATGTAACAATTGGCAAATCTAAGTGAACGGTATATGGTGTTCATGGAAATTATCTTGCAACTCTTCTGAGGTTTGAAATTTTTCCAAATCAAAAGGCCAAGGAGACTATTTCCACTCGTGCAGAGCTACTGTTTAGATCACTATATTATTGTGAGTATTGTTGTCAGTATTGCAGTAAACCCAGATCCTGTCCCTTCCACTGTCTCCTCGAATCCATCCATCACCTGCACCTCAACATCCCCTATGCCACCTCGATCTTTTTCCTGATTGTAGCAGCCTCGGGTTGCCCCCTTGAATCCGTTCTCCACAGCAGCCAGAATAACCTTCCAAAGAGTGACATTGTCCCTCTGCTGCTTGAAAGCTTCCAGTGGTTTTCCAGTGCCCTTTTCTTGGCCTTAAGACCCTTTTGATCTCTGCTTGCTTTTAGGATCCCCCTGCCTCTACGCACCCCTCCCCAACACACGCACATAACTTACATGTGTGTTCCAGCCACACTGAACTCCTAGCAGTTTCTGACACATTCATTGCTTAGTCTTTCTTAGCACTTAGTCTTCTCTTAGCACTTTCTTTGCATCCGCTCCTCCCTTCCCCAGAACACCCTCTCCGGCCATGCCACCTGCTTCAAGATCCAGCTCAAACATTAACTCCCCTGGAAATCATTCTCTGACTCGCCCCAAAGCTGGGCTGCTTTCCCCACTTTTCACTTGGTATTATAAAAGCACGTTTACCTGTTTGTCCCATGCGCTGGGGATTCTTAGAAAACACGGACCAAGACTTGTTTATTTTCAAATGTTGGAGCGAGTGTTTTGAGGATTGCAAGGAAACAGGCTGGAAAAACAATCTTAGCTCCTTCCTCTTTCCAGTTCTTCTGGTTCATCTTACTTGCAGTGGCCACAGACAGCCCAACAAAGCCTTTGTTTTGGAAAGCTGCCAAGATCTAGTAGAACTTAAATTACCTTTTCCAAGCATTCATATCTTGCTTATCTTCATTGCAGACCGAGGGGTAGGCCAAGTGATACAAAACTGGGAAATATCTAGCAAGTCCTGGTTGCTCATAATTCATACCACCTAACTTAAGGACTTGCCAAACTGTCCATATTTAACTTCAGCCCTGACCTAGGAATCAGGAAAATGACAAATCCTTGCCTCAGGTCCTGCGTCTATAAAACAAGGGTTTGGACTCAGGTCCAAAGTAGTGGCAGGCTCGTGTGAGTGAGTTGGCTCGCTAAGAGCTTTTAGGATCTTTAAATTAGTTGCTGAATCAGTTCAGGGCCCCATCACAAAACAGCTGGAACACTCAGAAGGGTATTTGAGAGGCATTTAATGAAGGGGCTATTTACAAAGTCATGGGCAATGTTAAGAGAGCAAATAAGCAGCCAGGGGCACGACTCACAGCATTTTGGGGGGCCGAGGTGGGAGGATCACGTGAGGCCAGGAGTTCGAGGCTGCAGTGAGCTATGATCATGCCACACTCCAGCCTGGGTGACAGAGCAAGACTCTGTCTCAAAAAAGAAAAAGACAAAACCAAACAAGTGATGAGGAAGCTACCTGGGGCTGGGAAAGTGTGGAGTCCATCACCATTCATAGACCTAAGGGGCAAAGGACGGGAGCACTTCGAAACCTAGAGCGTTGTAGCCAATAGGAGTGTGGCATTTATGATGGGGACACGGCTGCTGCTGAAACAGCACCTGGAAGGGAGGGAGCCAGGAGTAGACACCCCCACCTGTCTCTCCTCTGTCTCCTGAAGGAGCCTCTGGTTGGCTGAAGGCAGTGGGGCTTGGGGCACTGGGCAGGGCAGGGAGGGAAGAGGCTCGGAGAGGCAAACAGAATCGCCAGCACGATTGCCGCACAGTTCATCTTATTTTTGTACAACAAAGTCAAATCCCCCACGTATGTGGACATAGTGTGCTTGCATATAATTGTGTAAGAATGGAGAAAGTGGGTGGTTATACATTAAGGGGTTAATATTTGGTATCTGGGCAGAGTGTGGGGCAGGGCAGAAAGTAATTTTTAAAAATAGGATCTTTGTTAATATGGATTCATAGTAATTTAATAAAGAATGTGATCATTAAAGAGCTTGAAACTGTACCCTCAAGTGAGATAGATCACCAGAGATAGATGCTGTTTCTTTCTTTCTTCTTTTTTTCTTTTTTTTCCCCTGCCCCACCCTCAATAGATGCTGTTTCTTTTTTTTTTGAGACAGAGTCTCACTCTGTCACCTGGGCTAGAGTGCCGTGGCGTCAGCCTAGCTCACAGCAACCTCAAACTCCTGGGCTCAAGCGATCCTCCTGCCTCAGCCTCCCGGTAGCTGGGACTACAGGCACGCATCACCACACCAGGCTAATTTTTTCTATTTTTAGTTGTTTGGCTAATTTCTTTCTATTTATAGTAGAGACAGGGGTCTCGCTCTTGCTCAGGCTGGTTTCAAACTCCTGAGCTCAAACAATCCTCCCGCCTCAGCCTCCCAGAGTATTAGGATTACAGGCATGAGCCACTGTACCTGGCCTCTTTTTCTTCTTTTCTTTTTTTTTGTTCTTAGTGTATTTTCTCTTCCCCCCTAAATTAACTTGTATTAATTCTATTTTAGAGAACAAAATAAAACACATACCTGAGCTGGTTAAACAGGTGTGTTC